GGGTGTACACTTCAGGGGAATTAGATTTCACTAAACTAGTCTAGCCCAGTGGTCGGCAAACCGCAGCTCGCGAGCCACATGCGGCTCTTTGGCCCCTTGAGTGTGGCTCTTCCACAAAATACCATGTGCAGGCGCACACGTACAGGGAACGTTGTGGAGTGAAAGATGTAGTGTCGAGGATTGAGAAAGGTATGTTGAGATGGTTTGGATATATAGAGAGGATGGACAAAAGGAGATAGACGAAACAAGTATACAAGATGAGTGTGGATAGGAGAGTTGGAAGGGGTTGACCTCAGCGAATGTACCTCAATCAGATTGAGGACGTTTTTAGCAAAGGCCAGCTTAGGAGTACCTTAATTAAGTTAATAACAATGTACCTACCTATATAGTTTAAGTTTAAAAAATTTGGCTCTCAAAAGAAATTTCAATCGTTGTACTGTTGATATTTGGCTCTGTTGACTAATGAGTTTGCCGACCACTGGTCTAGCCAAATTTACAGAAATTAAAATACAATTCTAAAATTCATATATAGCCACAAAATACCCTGAATAGCCAAATCAATCTTGAGAAAATAGAACAAAGTCATCATACTCCTTGGTATCAAAATATATTACAAGCTACAATAGTCAAAATAGTCTGACACTGGTATAAACACAGACATATAGAACAATGAAACAGAATATATAAGACGGGAAACCATAAAAATATTAGAGGAATCCACAGGCAGCAAAATCTCAGACATATGCTGAAGCAGTTTCTTCACGAATACTGCTCCTAGGGCAATGGAAACTAAAAAGAAAATAAACAAATGGGACTATATCAAAATAAAAAGCTTTTGCACAGCAAAAGAAACCATCAACAAAACAATAAGAAAGCCCACTGCATGGGAGAACATATTTGCCAATGTTATCACTGGTAAGGGTTTAATCACTAACATTTACAGGGAACTCATACAACTTAACAAAAGGAAGATTAACAACCCAATCAAAAAATGGGCAATGGACCTAAATAGGTATTTTTTTAAAAGAAGACTGAAGGAAGGCCAAGAGACATGTGAAAACATGCTCAAAGTCACTAATCATCCGAGAGATGCAAATCAAAACAACAATGAGGTACCATCTCACACCTGCCAGAATGGCTATCATCAACAAATCAACAAATGACAAGTGCTAGGGAGGATGCAGAGAAAAAGGAACCCTTGTGCACCGCTGGTGGGAATGCAGACTGGTACAGCCACTGTGGAGAACGGTATGGAGTTTCCTCAAAAAACTAAAAATGAAACTCCCATTTGACCCAGTGATCCCACTTCTAGGAATATATCCCAAGAAACTAGAAATACCAATCAGAAAGGATATATGCACCCCTATGTTCATAGCAGCACAATTCACCATAACTAAGATTTGGAAACAGCCTAAGTGCCCATCAGCAGATGAGTGGATGTCAAACTACAGCGGGAAGGCCGGGGAGGGTTGGGGGGCTTTGGGGGGGGGGTAAGAGATCAACCGAAGGACTTGTATGCATGCATATAAGCATAACCAATGGACACAAGACACTGGGGGGTAGGGGAGGCCGGGGGAATGTCAAGGAGGGGGAAAAAGGATACCTTTGTAATACTCTTTGTAATACTTTAAGCAATTAAAAAAATAATAAATAAAAAATAAAATAAAAAAACAGTGGTACTTCTACACAATGGAATACTATGCTGCGGTAAAAAAGGAGTTCTTACCATTTGCAATAGCATGGATGGAACTGGAGAGCATTATGCTAAGTGAAATAAGCCAGTCAGAGAAAGATAAATATCACATGACCTCACTCATTTATGGAATATAATGAACAACATAAACTGATGAACAAAAACAGATCCAGAGACAGAGAATCATCGATCAGAACGTCAAACCTCAGAGTAGGGGAGTGTGGGGGTAAGGGGGAGACATCAACCAAAGGACTTGTATGCATGCATATTAGCCTAACCAATGGACACAGACAACAGGGGGTTGAGGGCATGAGTGGGGGGTAATGGGGGGATAAGGACACATATGTAATACCTTAATCAATAAAGAAATTAAAGTAAAAAAAGACTACAGTAAAAAAGAAAAGAAAGAAACAGAATAGAGAGCTTAGAAATAAATCCACGCATATACCATCAATTGATCTTCCACAGGGGTGCCAAAAATACACTATGGGAAAAAGATAGTCTCTTCAACAAATGGTGTTGAGAAAACTGGATATCCTCAGGCAAAACAATGATATTGACCCTTATATTACACCATACACAAAAATCAATTCAAAATGGATTTAAGACTCAAATGTAAGATCTGAAACTCTAAACCTTCTTGAAGAAAACATAAGTCAAAAGCTCATGACATTGATATTTATTATATGTGATGAAAAGCACAGCAGCAACAACAAAAATAAACAAGTGGGATAATATAAAAAGAAGCTTCTGACAGCAAAAGAAACAATCAACAGAGTGGAAAGTCAACATACACAATGGGATACAATATTTGCAAACCATACATATATCTGATAACAAGTTAATCTCCAAACTATACAAAAACTAAAACTCAATAGCAAAAACAAATAACTGATCAAAATGGGCTAAGGACTTGGACAGACATTTCTCAGAAGAAGACATTTAAAAGGCCAACAGATATATGAAAAGGTGCTCAACATCAGTAATCATCAAGGAGATGCAAATCAAAACCACAATGAGATATCACTTCATAACTTCCAGGATGGCTATTGTTTCTATCAAGGAATAAGTGTTAGCCAGGGTGTGGAGGAAAGGGAACCCTTATACACTGTTGGTGGGAATGTAAATTGGTACAGCCATTATGAAAAACAGTATGGAATTTCCTAAAATATTAAAAATAGACTACCATATGATCCAGCAATCCCACTTGTGGGTATATATCTAAAGTAAATGAAATCAAATCACTATATTAAAGAGATATCTGTGCCTGACAAGTGTGGCCCAGTTGGTTGGAGTCTCAGGTTCAATTCCTGGTCAGTGCACATACCCAGGTTGTGGGTTTGATCCCCAGTCAGGAACATACAGGAGGCAACTGATCAATGTTTCTCTCTCACATTGATGTTTCTCTCACTCTCTCCCTCTCCTTTTCTTTCTTTCTAAAATCAATAAAAACATATCCTCGGGTGAGAATTAAAATAAGTATATAAATATTCACAATAGTCATGATATGAAAACAACCTAAGTGTACATCAAGAAATAAATGGATAGCCCTTCCCAATGTGGCTCAGTTGGTTGAGCATCCTCCAATACACTCAAAGGTCACGAGTTCGATTCCTGGGGAGGCAACATGCCCAGGTTGTGAGTTCAGTTCCTAGTTGGGGTGTATATGGGAGGCAACCAATTTTTAACTCTCACATCGATGTTTCTCTCTCTCTAAAAAAAAAAACAATAAAAACATATTTTTAAAAATAAAAAGAAAGAAAGAAAGAAATGTGATGTATATACAATAGAACATTATTCAGCCGCAAAACAGAAAATCTTGCCATTTGCAACAACATGAATGGATCTTGAGACTATTATGCTAAGTGTAATAAGCCAGACACAGAAAGACAGACACTGCATAATCTCACTTTATGTGAAATCTAAAAAATAGTTGCACTAACAGAAGCACAGGGTAGAATGGTGGTTGTCAGGGGTTGAGGGAAGAAGAAATGGGGAGTTCCTAATCAACAGGCATAAAATTTCAGTTAAACAAGATGAATAAATTCTAAAGATCTGTTATACAACATTGTACCTATTATAGCCAATAGTCATGTATTATACACTTAAAATTTAACAAAAGGGTAGATCTCATGTTATGTGTTGTTACTACAAAAAATGAAATAAAATTAAGCAAGAAACAAAGTTGATTAGAAGTTTCCAGGGGTTGAAAGGAAAGGGAAATAAAGAGTGACTGCTAATGTGTATGGAAGTTTCTTTTTGGAGTGATTCAAATGTTTTGGAATTAGTAGCCATGATTGCACAATCTAGAGAATATACTAAAAACCACGGAATTGTACACATTAAATAGGTGAATTTTATTATATTTGAGTGACTCCATAAAATTTTTTAAAGTACATCGATATATCAATTTCTGCTTATCAAATCACCAAAGATACAAAAGTCTGATACCATGCTGTGTTGATGAAAGGATTCTGAAACAGGCACTTTCAGGCCTTGCAAGTGGGAGTATAAATTGATGCAACTATTACAGAGAGCATTTTGACACCATCAAAAGTATGATTGACCCAGCAATTCTACTTTTAGGAATTTATGCTTCAATAATACCCAATTTATACAAAATGACATATAAATGATATCCATTACAGCAGCTTTTAAAAAACAAAATGTTATTAACAACTTAAATGCCCATCCAATTGGAAACATGTTAAAGAAATATATGCAGTATAATACATTGCCGTGGAAAAAAGAATGAGAAAGCTCTTCATATACTAATATGATAATTTCTTCAATATATTGTTAAGGGAAAAAAGCAAGGTTCAGAGCAGCATGTATGCATGCTCCACTTTTTGTACAAAAGGGAGGGATAATATACATGTATGTATCATGTATGTGTACATATACATACACATATATAAATTTCCTTATAGATTCATAAGATATCTCTGTGGATATTAACTGAACGGCTCTGGAAAGGAGATATTTCACTGTATTTTTGTGTGTTTTTTCAATAGTAAACTATGTGAAGTATTATCTATTCAAACGTTTTTTAAATAAAATAAAATTAAAATTAATAATTAGCCAAATTTTTAAAATAAAATAAAAATTATAAAACAAAAAGCACTGATAGTCTTAACTTGTCGTGCTCCACTCCTACCTGAACCAACATGGACTACCTAATTTCTGAGACTAGATTTTTGTAAGGTAGATTTTCCTATGTGAGGTTTCCCTGTTCTCTTTCTGATCTCAGGTCAAGTAGACTAACTGAGGTTCCATTATTTCTTCTCTGTATACGGAACAGTCTTACCATCACTGATAGTAATATTAGCAAGATCCACAATCTTATCAGGAAGGTCTCGCAGCAATTGGCATTGTTTAAACTTTGGTTTTTCCCACTGAGATTTGCCAGTATCCATACTGATTGAGCTGAAAAAGAGAGGAGGGAGGAACAAGAAATTATCTCATTGGAAGATGAGGCCAGAATAGTCTTAAAGCAAAAGGTGAAGGATTGGGGTTTATCTTTGGCATACCTCCCCTCTTTGCCCACTCTCAGCCTCCTGGATGAGACAGCAAAGGAGGAAGCCCAGTGTTTGTAAAGTGAAGAAAATTTTGCTCTTAGAAAGGAAATATAAGCAGGCAAGAAAGCCTGCAATGGGGCATGGCAATGTCCAGTGAACCAAGAGTCAAGGCAGAGATTTTGCCCTTCTAGACAGGTCTCCTTACCCTCATTTTCCCTTCTTAACCCCATTTCTGTTAGAATGTGGTCTCTATCTTAGCATATTAATTTACTCAAGGCAACTAGTATAGCATCCTCTGTATCTCATTGACCCTCATGGTATACCCTCCACTATGCTTCATCCAATTCAAGCCAGTTCAATTCAAGTTAACTAACACATTTATTGAGCACCTACTGTGTTCTAGGACTGGTAGCAGGTAGTGAAGACAAACAGGGCAGGGTCTCCTCCCTCAAGGAGCTTGTAACTTGGTGGTTTGAGACTGTAAATGTAACTACATTTAATAGGCAAGATGGGATAAGAACAGCAATATAAACAAAATTGAATGTATCAAACCACCAAGCAAGGAAAACTTACTTGTAACTTTTGAGCTAAACTGGTGCTGAAAGGACAGAGTTGGAAAAAGCCCCACCACCAGCAGCAGTAACAGAGCAAATGGCATAAGCAAAAAAAAAAAAAAAAAAAAGACACGAGGAAACACCTATTGAGTTCACAATGGCAAATGACCCTTTTTGGCTGGAATGCATTAAAGTAGGGAGCCTGCGGGTTTGGACTTAATTCTTGAGGCAATGTGAAACCAGAGTAAGAAGGTGGCATGATGGCAACCATACTTTAGGAAAAATCACACTGACAGCAGTATGGAGTATAGCTGGTGGGTAATGGACAATTAGAAAATAAGGAAACTGCTCTAATAGTGGGCAAGATATATTAAGGTCCTGCACCAGGGTAGTGGCTGTGTGGTTGTCAAGGAAAGGCTAGATGTGAGTTCTGAATTTGAACTTTTAAAAAAGCTGCATGATTTGCTGACTGATTAGATGTAGGGAGTAAGAGATAGAGTACAATTCAAGATGTTGCCCTCCAAAGGAGAGCTTTTAAAGCTTCTGTCAAAACTGGCTGCTCCTTTGCTGTGTCCACTTAATGCATAAACCATTAACAGCAGAGAGTAATAGAAGAGGGGCCGATGATTTTAAGAAGGAAAATGATAAGGTCTACAATAGAAGAGTGACTTAGTAAATTATGATGGCCCATCAACAAGTTAGTTTCTGAGGCAGTTTTTCAAAATGGTCATTAAGAGGATGGCTGTCAAACACACACAGACACACACACACACACACACACACACACAAAACCTACATATTTTGAAAAAAATGAAAGATGACTGTAAAACATGGCAAATATTGATAAGCCATTGAGTGAAAGCATAAATTCCATTATTATTTTTTGTTGTTGTTAATACTCACCCAAGAATATTTTTTCCATTGATTTTTTAGAGAGATTAGAAGGGATGGAGGAAAGGGGTGGACAGAGAGAGAGAGAGAGAGAGAGAGAGAGAGAGAGATTGGTTGCTTCCTGCACAGGCCCCAACTGGGGCCAGTGATTGAACCTGCAACCCAAATACATGCCCTTAACCGGAATTGAACCCAACACCCTTTGGTGCATGGGCTGATGCTCTAACCACTGAGAACACCGACCAGAGCAAAAATTCCATTATTGATATGAGGATTGATTATCACTACATAAAACTTAAATAAATGCAGCAAAAGCCAAATGAAAAAATATACTTACCTAAAAACAGCTGTGTTCAGGTGATGGGATTATGAGTGACATTTATTTAAGTTTTTATGTCATGATAATCAGTCCTCATATCAATAATGGCATTTTTGCTCTGGTCGGTGTTCTCAGTGGTGCAGGGGTGGGCAAACTTTTTGACTCGAGGGCCACAATGGGTTCTTAAACTGGACCGGAGGGCCGGAACAAAAGCATGGATGGAGTGTTTGTGTGAACTAATATAAATTCAAAGTAAACATCATTACATAAAAGGGTACGGTCTTTTTTTTTTTTTTAGTTTTATTCATTTCAAATGGGCCAGATCCGGCCCGCGGCCGGAGTTTGCACGGTGGGTCCGTCAATGGGTGTTTGGTTCATTTCCGTTTAAGGGCATGTATCTGGTTTGCAGGTTCTCTTTTGTCTTCTTGAATTTTTTTTTGGAATGTTATTATGTAGCCTTATTTTCTTAAAAAGGGCCCCAAAAGGAAGGAAGGGAAAGGGAAGGAAAGGAAGAAAGAAAGAAAGAAAGAAAGAAAAGAAAGAAAGAAAGAAATGAAAGAAGGAAGGAAGGAAGGAAGGAAGGAAGGAAGGAAGGAAGGAAGGAAGGAAGGAAGGAAGGAAGGAAAGAAAGAAAGAAAGAAAGAAAGAAAGAAAGAAAGAAAGAAAGAAAGAAAGGAAGGAAGGAAGGAAGGAAGGAAGGAAGGAAGGAAGGAAGGAAGGAAGGAAGGAAGGAAGGAAGGAGGAAGGAAGGAAGGAAGGAAGGAAAGAAAGAAAGAAAGAAAGAAAGAAAGAAGGAAAGAAAGAAAGAAGGAAAGAAAGAAAGAAAGACACCTTAACCGGTTTGGCTCAGTGGATAGAGCATCGGCCTTCGGACTCAAGGGTCCCAGGTTTGATTCCGGTCAAGGGCATGTACCTTGGTTGTGGGCACATCCCCAGTGGGGAGTGTGCAGGAGGCAGCTGGTCGATGTTTCTCTCTCATCGATGTTTCTAACTCTCTATCCCTCTCCCTTCCGCTCTGTAAAAAATCAATAAAATATATTTTTAAAAAAAAGAAAGAAAGAAAGACTGGCAGTAAAGGGGGAGAGAAGGAGCTCAGGCAAATGACATAGAAACATGCCCCTAATTAGCAGATCTTTGTGTATTTGAACTAGCATTTAGAACTTGGCCAATACATACCAGATTCTAGTAGCGTTTCCAGCCTTATTTTTTATGCATCTAGTTTGGGCTGTATCAGTAGGGTTGGTTAAGAGCCACTTATATGTCCCTTTGTATTTAGAGGTTGTCTCTTCGGCTTTGCACTTTCCTGGCTCTACAGAGAAAATGTATGCACATTTTAAAGGGCAAAAGGCACTTAAAAGTATCACGAACATCCATTATGACCCATCATTATTATCTTGTGCACAAACATCAGCAAATAAAAAGGAAACTTTTCTTTTAGCCAGGCCATTTAAAGCAGGATTCACTGAAAATAGCATTAAATGGGTTCTTTACTTAAAATATAAGCCTCCCAATACACTCTCACATTTAGTCCTTTTCATTAAAACTACCAGTTGACAGAGCAGGTTTTTAGTTTTTGTTTTTAAAAATGACACATGTGCCTTGAAAAAAATTTAAGCCACACAGAGAGGCGTAGAGTAAAAATCAAAAGTCCCCACCTGCCAATTGCCCTCCTTTTCAGGTACCCACTGTTAATAGTGTGAGGTGCAATGATAGGCTGGCTTATATTTCTGGACAGCTCCTTGCTTCTTAATGGACTCTAGCGTAGATTTGGTTTAAGTAAACTCAATATATCCATCATCATCAATACAGATGGGAGCCTGTTCTGATGTTGGTGCTGATGGCAAAGTTTTGCTGCCAAGGGTTGTCACCTTAAGGGAGATATGACTTGGACTATGTTTATGTAATAAGTTCCCAGTTTTTACTGACCACTCATTGGGTGTATAACCCTGATTCCAAAAATCTTTCCCTCAGGTGTTGACAGAGTGGCCCAGCCAGCTTTGCCCAGCCATCCCCATCTCCTCTCTGAGTGAGAATAAAAGGCCTTACCCTCATTCTCCGGACACATTCATTAGCATCATTTGCATGGTGGCTCTGTTTGTGGCTTCAATACTGCTCTGCCTTTCATCTCACTCTCATTCTCAATAGAAGCATGCCCTCCACCACCCAGTTAGTTTGTTGCCAAGGATTGTGTGTTCTAATGCCTATGTGTGTTATTAGGGTTAGCTCAATATTTTTACCCCAGTCTATTAGGGAAAACGAAGAAAGCTGCCATCGGATGGCATGGCCTGATAGTCTTTCTCTTTTACCATTAAAGCCTTGCTAATCTAAAAAGAAAATGACCATGAGAGAAATTCTGGACTGTTCCCAGATCACTTTCCAAGATGAATAGGCTGGCTAAATCAATCAATAAAGCAAGTATCTATTAGGCAGCTATTGTGTGTAATGAAGCTCTCCAGGTCTCTGGGTATTTATGCAAGAGAGACAATCATTCCACATCATTGATGAACTGGCTACTGCTGAAATCCAGAGCTGACCAAAAGTCTCTGTTATCCCCCCTGGCTCGATAGATAGATAGATAGATAGATAGATAGATAGATAGATAGATGATAGATAGATAGATAGATAGATAGATAGATAGATAGATGATAGATAGATAGATAGATAGATAGATAGATAGATAGATAGATAGAAAGGTTGTCACTTCTCTCCCTTCTGAATTCAGGATGTCTTACTATGCATGCATTATGAGCTTTATAAGAAGGACAGTGACTTCATATGGAATATCCCCACTCAAATTACCTAGTTTTTTCACTGCAACATGTTCAGACTTTACTAATAACGTCAATTGATCTTGTGTGAAGTTTCCATGCATGAGGTTGCCATGTATTTTACTTTTAATCCTGCTAATCAATTCAGTGGGTGCTAAAGAAGAGTTGGCCTTTATGATGACCTGACAGACACAGCTAAAAAGCAGAACAAACAAAAAAGATATTATAGTTATGTCAACAGTGTGCAACTTGGCCTGTGGTGATGCAATTCTGCATAAATAACTTAGTGGTAGTTTATAAATATCAAATATTTTACACTATTAAGTGGGAAATCTTAAGAAATTATGGAAGACAGCATATTTAAATTGTCTGATAAATTTTCTCATATCCAAAACAAAAAACTCAAAATGCATTTTCAAAAGAATAGTCAAGAACATTTGCATTATGTTGAAATTGGTTAGCCATACTATTTTTCTAGAAGTTTGTGATAATAGAAGAGATGAAGTATTCAGGATTTATTACTTTAGAGAAAACCTTTTATCTTTCTGGTTTCCAATTTATCCATCATTACTGCAATAAAGCAAATAGGCACATGCTCAATTAGTCTATAAAGATGTGTTCTACAAAAAACCGATTTCTATCATAGAATAATATTAATGATAATGATAGTAACTAACATTTATAAATTTATCTTTTTTAATGTTTTTATTGATATTAAAGAGAGAGGAAGGGAGAGAGATAGTAAAATAGAAACATTGATTGGCTGCCTCCTACATGCCCCCTACAGAGCCCACAACAAGAGCATGTGCCCTGACAGGGAACTGGTGACCTCTTGGTTCATGGTTGACGCTCAACCACTGAGCCACACTGGCCTGGTACATTTATGGAATTCTTGCTTCACATGTTTTGATTCATGTTATCCTCACAACAACCTTATGTGGTAGTGCTATTATTATCCCCATTCTACAGATGAGGAAACTAAACTTTAAGTAAGGTCACAAAGACCTAGTATTTCATTTCTAAATATTCTTTCTACTAAAAGACATATTATGAAAGAATAGGGCTGTCCTTGATCTCAACCTCTGTAGTGAGGTCCTCAAAAATTCTAAATTCCTCTACTGCTCCATTACAGAACACATTTCAGATTCACAAACTTACCTGTACCCTTTCTCCATTTCCAGGTGTAAATAGTCTTTTTGAAGAACACATTTCCTATGTTTCCTACCAGCTGTTGAAATTTAGATGTGCCTGTGTTTACTCAAAAGTTTTATGTCCAATATAAGACATGTCACTCCCTTCACTGATCCATATTTGGTGAAGACCCTGTTCATCTTACCCATTTCATTTGGGGTCTCTCTCTTCTCAACTATCATCTTTCCAGCCTGAAGAGAACTCTTTTAAACTTCTCCTCTTGCTGCAATAGACTGTCTATTCTTAGCATCCTGAATATTTCAATGACTTTTCCAGGAGTCTTCTTTGGCTATATGTACTTCTTGAGTTGCATCAAGCAGCCCAACAGTAGCTGGAGAAGCTGGACCATGAGTTTGAACAGGACCAAGGATGTTTTCCATCTTGCTTTTTCAATTTTCCTGCTCAGTATTTTGTGGAATTTTTTCATGACAACAAATACTTTATTCCTCCATCCCCAAATTATGACCACTTTGGACTCCATTTTCTCTTCATTACAAAGAGGCAGCAGCAAGCAGGCTGATAGGCTGTGCCATGACCAACTGAAACAACTTATTTTATGAAGGCAAGTGCCCAATGACAGTCTCTATAAAATAACCACCAGGTACTTTGATCTCCTTCTGACAACTCTGACCAACAGATTGCACATACAGAATTAAATGGAAGGGAAATCATAACTAAATGTACCAGCTATGAATAAACTCAGCTCCTACCTGTATAACGCATGGGAAATTGTAGCCATCTCTTGCCCTTCTCTCTGTTCCAAATAAAGCAAAAGAAAAGTACATACTCGCTGAAATCTTTAAACAAACATCACAACTAAGTACAGGGCTTATTGTAAACTACAGCAATCATAATTATACTTTATATTTATGTAACTCATTGCCATCTTCAAATCACCCTCTAAAACATCAATGCATTTATAGTCCTCAAACTAACTCTGTACGGTGGGCATTCCAGGGATTGTCAGCACATTTTCTACATGAGGAAGCTAAGTCTTAGAGAAGTTAAATTATTTGCCCAGTATCACACAGCTGAGAAGTCAAAGAACTAGGAATAGATTCTAAACCTAACATAGTGATAACAATAGTAAACACTACCAAGCATTTACTGTGCTTTATGTCATGTGCTAAGCACTTTACATAAATTATCCCATTCCATCTTTCCAATAGCCTTGTGAGGGATTATAATATTGTTATCCTCATTGCACAGATTAGGAAAGTGAGGCATAGAGAGATTAATTATGTTGCCCAAGGTCTCACAATCAGGAAGTGGAAGAGCAGGGATTCTAACCCAGGGAACTCATTATTAGCAATAGGCTTTTACACCTATTTTTTGAGAGGAAGTTTAGTCATGTCATGTTATCTATCATGTATTAAATTAAAAATTCTGAATCAGCTATTTATAGAAAGTATTTTAAATGATGGCAGATAACTTGGAATGCACTGATTGCATTTTGTATAGTTAAAATATTTATCCCGTTTAAATACTTTAAAATCTGTGTTTACTAATCCTTTCAGAGTCTAACATTGTAAAGCTTTGAGGCACTGGAATAAGTACTGAGAATTGGGTCAAGGATGATGGGAGATAGTTTTGTTACACTCTGACTTCAAATCTATACAAATAGAGGATGAATGTATTTCTGAATGCCAGCCTTGCAAACAACTGTGTCACTCCTGGAAGAACCAGACTTTTTACAAGAAGTCCACAATCAAGAAATTCCATTTACCATTTACAATCCCAAAGTCATTCCATAGTCCCATAGCCCACAAAATGGGCCTTGAAAGAACTGCCACATACATAGTTCAAAAAGCAGAGGATGGTTTCCTTACTGGGTTCTTGTGCAATTCCAAAGAAGGTAATGTATTTTGACCCTCAAGGATTACAATTGAGACTTGCCTAATCTTATATAATAAAAGCTTAATATGCAAATTGACCAAACAGCCGAACAGTGGAATGACCATCCAGATGATAATCCAGATGACCATCTGGACCACACTATGACACCCACTGGCACCAAGCCAGTCAAGGCAGGTGCGATGCAATTGGTTGAGGGCCCAGCCATTGCCCCATCATTGCCACTCAGAGGGAGGCCCAGGTCACCAACCAGTGGGCTGTCGTGGGTGTGCGGGGCCTCCTCTGCAAAGGAAGCCCAGGTCAGTGCTGGTGGCTGGAGGGAAGTTTGGGTCCCATAGGGAAGCTGGTGCCTGAAGCTGGGGGAAGAAAGGCCCACTCCTGCATAAATTTTGTTTATTGGGCCTCTAGTAATATATACTTAGGTAGAAGAGCTATTTACTTACATCTAATCAGGTATAAAATAGGTTACAAGTACATTGTTTTGAAAAATTACTTACAAAATTTTGGTCCATGGTTTTTTCTTCCTTAGAAGTGTCTCTGTATCAAAAGCATCAAAAATTATAGAAAAATGAAATAGAGTACCAAATACATAAGAGCACAGTTTCAGGAGAAAGACAACTCTGAGGCAAAACAGTAGAATCTCCCAGCTTGGAATTAAAATAATTCTAGGGCTACAAGAAGATACTTCAAAAGAGTTTGGTCATTATTTGTATACCAAAATGGTAGTAAGCCTTTAACTCAGCAAACCCACTTTCAAGAATCTACTCTATAATAGTACCAGCAAGGAACCATGCAAATATATGTACAAGAGTGGACATAACTGAAATGTCCATTACTAAGTAATTGGGTAAATACACCATGGTACACTCATGCAAAAGAATCCTATGCAGGCATAAAAATGAATAAGCTAAATCTCTATGTATTGGCCTCAAAGGATGTACATGATGCATTCTAAAGCATGAAAAGAATGTTGGAAAACAGTATGTAGAGTAGGATCCCATTCTCTTAGTAAATGCAAGGCAACAAATCTAGAGGAGTATGTAAGAAAATTGTTAACCAGAGTTCTTGGAATGGGTGTGTTTCTGGAGATTTTTGCTATCCAAGTTACATATTTCTGTTAAGCTCTAAGATTTTACAATGGTCACATATTACTTTTGTAATAAGTAAACATAATTGACACAATTCTTTAAAAAGAATGTTGTATATTCCACAATTTTCTTTTAATAACCTACCATGGATTTACTTTTATTACCTTATATAAACCTTCTTGAGCCTATTTATATTTGAACATGGAGTAGAAACCAAAATCCCAGTGTGTGGGAGATAGGCAGGCATGTGTATTGTTTTAAAAATAAGCTTACATGGGGGATAGGGGGTAACGTGGGGATAAGGACACTTATGTAATAATTTAATCAATAATAAAAATAAAAATAAATAAAAAAATAAAAATCAGCTTACAGTGGTATACCAGAGCCATGCCTATTTTTCAAAAGGATTCTCTGAATGTTCCTTTAACAGAGGACCAATATATGTGCAATGCAAGAGCAGAGGAAGTATTTATCAGATGACCAATTGCTTTGGTCATCTTCTTGATACTACTCAGTGCCTTCCAATATTACTGCAATCAGCTCTCCAACCTTGTGCCCCAGGCAAGTCTTGAACTAGTCAGCATTCCTCACTCTAAATATTTCAAGTTCCCTTTGTAATTTTTAATTCCTGGAAGTACATTGTCCAAAAATAAAAGGCCTTATAAATCTTTATGCATTGGTCATTCGGAGTCTTTCATCTTTTAAGGCATTTTCCCCCTAAGTCACAGAATCATAGTATTTTAAAGCTAAAGGGGGCATTAGAGGTAGCTGAGTCCAATTCCACTGTTTCCCCTACTTATTTTATTCTATTTTGTTTTCCCACTGAATTTATACCATATAGTATTTTTTAAAATATATTTTTATTGATTTCAGAGAGGAAGGGGAGAGAGACAGAGAGAGAGAGAGAGAGAGAGAGAGAGAAACATCAGTGATGAGAATCATTGACTGCCTCCTGCACGCCTCCTATTGGGGATTGATCCCCAAACCCAGGCATATGCCCTTGACTGGAATCAAACCCGGGACTCTTCAGTCCTCAGGCCAACACTCTATCCACTGAGCCAAACTGGCTAGGGCTATACTCTATAGTATTAATACAAATTTCTTTCTCAGTCCAAAAAGAACCTACACTCAGAAGGGAAGATTCAACTCAAAATGCAGCAGTCCCTACAACTCAGACAAAAACAAAGGAAATCTTCTCTGGATAATAACAGATCCAGAGTGCCCTCAAACAACCCTTCAACCCACAGCAGATGACATTCACATACCTGCTTTTAATTTGAATAGCCAGATTAGCAAGAGCAAATTCACTGTCCTGAAATATAGAATTCAACTGTAAAAGACAAAACATATCAGTTTTAGTATTTCTACTCCTCTGTCTTAACTGAGCAAAGTTACCTGAGATGATGTGATCATTAAGCTCCATTCACTATTTCAGCTGGTTCAACATTTCCATCTGCTCCACTTGGTTTTTACCTACTGTTATGAACTTAATTGTATCCCAAAAATTTCATATGTTGAAGCCCTAACCTCCTAATGTCACTATATTTGGAGATTGAGCCTTTAAGGGGGTAATTAAGGCTAAATGAGGTCATAAGGATAGAGCCCTAATCCCATAGGACTGATGTCACTATAAGAAGAGGAAGAGACACCAGACATATCTCTCTCTCTCTCTCTCTCTCTCTCTCTCTCTCTCTCTCTCTCTCCCCACACACACACACACAAAGAAAAAGTCCTATGAAGGCACAAAATGAAGATAGCCATCTACAAGCCAAGGAGAGAGACCATACCAGAAACCAACCCTGTTGGCACTTTGATCTTGGATTTCCAGTCTGTAGAACAGTGAGAAAATAAATGTCTGTTGTTCAAGCCACCCGGTTTATCATATTGTTATGGCAACCCTAGTAGATGAATATAACGAATCATGTCAAGCACTTATAATTATGTCATATATGGTACACTTGAAAATAAATGCCTGATGAGGAGAGAGGGGAAACAGACATGACCATTTACTGTTGGTGGGGATGCAGGTTTGTATCACCTATCTGGGAGGTAATTTAGCAATAGCTATTAAAATGTATAATATTCATCAATTGATTCAACAATTCCAGTTCTAGGAATTTATCCTATAGAAATACTCAAGTGCTTCCCCAAAATTTATTGCAAGGGCATTATTGTTAGCATTATTTCCAAATAGAGAAAAAATAGAAACACATGAATGTCCACCAATGGATGCCTGAATTAAAAACTACTTTACAATTATCCAGTGAAATTCTATGCATCTGTTAAAGTGTATGAGGTAGATCTATGTTTATAATCATGAGTATGCTCAAAGATAGATGGTTAAGTGAAAAAGGAAGTTAGCATAATTAGTATGATTTCAGTTATTTTTACAAAAGAATATACATGCATCAATGTTATTGTATGTATAGAAAAAGTCTGAAAAAATATCCCTCGAACTATTAATAGTACTTAATACAAAGAGCAATATTAGAGAGCATGTATACTTTCTGAGTTTCACATTTCAAATTCTGGATTTCTTCAGAGAGTATGTAGTACTCCTATGATCAGAAACAATGTAAGGATAAGTAAAACATTTATTGTGTAAGAGAGAGAGAAATTAAAATGCAGAAAACAAGAATATTTAAATTAAATAGCATAGACTTTGTTATCACTACTCTCCTTCTTTCCCCAAATAGGAAAATTTGAAGAGGCACAGAATTTGTGTCAGTGGAAAAAAAGTGTACACTTCTAAATAAATTAAAATATTAACATCCCATAAATGCTTCCAGCATTGGCACTATGAAAGAAAAAACACATATATCTTCATGGTGTTGATTACAGAGTGGATAGATTTTCAGCAAACAGTCAAAACCAATTAGCTGTGAAATGTATTATGTGTAGAAAAAGTAAAACTTAGTTTTAATATACTCAATCTTTGTCATATATATACACACATATATATACATACACATGTATATACACATATATTCACATATTTTATATGTACTATAAATATTCAAAAGATTATTTTACCCAATTTTCTGCTAATTCATTTACAATACTGGTAATAGGGATCGCTGGCTCTTCATCAAAGACAGAGAAGCTCATTCCAATATTATAAAAGGAAACTGTAATTAAAAATAAGGAGATTAATTTTATGTATTGAATTCAAGAAATTTAACTTCTGTTAATTTGATGAAAATTGTTCTTTATTTTAAAGAAACTAAACAGTGAAATATCATTCTTAAACTTTGCTTAATTTAATTTCAAGGTCAAGAACAAGCACTTTTGGCTTCATATTCACAAGTAAAACAGGAACAAACAAAACAGAAACAGACTCATAGATACAGAGAACAGACTGATGGTTGCCAGAGGGAAGAGGAATTGGGGAACTGGGTGAAAAAAGTTAAGGGATTGAGAAGTACAGGGTGGTAGTTACAAAATACCCATGGGGATATTAAGTATAGCATAGGGAATATAGTCAATAACATTAGAATAATTATGTGGGTACTGGAAATATAGGGAGAATAGTTTTTGAAGTATGTGACTGTCTAACCACTATGCTATATACCCAAAACTAATATAAAACAATATTGACTGTAAATTGTAATTGAAAAAATAGTAATTTAAAAAATAAAAACAGGACATACCATCACATTTTTGCTTTAATTATTTAGGCAGTTCCCTACACAGTTAATAGACATGCTACAAATCTCCCAAATCCTCAATTTTCATTGATCAACAGATTCCAAGTTCATTTAATAGCCAAGCTAAACGTAATTTCACAAGATCATTTGGCCTGAGGAAATATTTATTTTTTCCTGTGTATTTCTTTCTGCTACAGGGTTTTCTCTCTGTAATTCCCTCCTATTGTCTGCCCTATTAAATTTCAATTTTGGAATGTTAAAAGTTGAAGGAACATCCAAAATTTGAGCAATATGGAAGCCAAACACTCCTTGGCCACTGGTAAGTATTGTAAGTCAGCTGGAGGTGAAGCTTAGAGAAAGCTGAGACTTGTATCAGAGGAATGTCTTCTGGTGATTTCTGGTATGTAGTCAATATGTCAGACCTAAGACTATAAAATACTCTTATTTGGAAGGGGGTGAGGTTCCTGATCCATGTTCACATTGGCAGAGTCAGAGCATCAGGAACAAAATGGGTGGAAAGGAGGCTTAGAAATGTCATACTTAGTAAAAAGATACATTTGCATTATCCTATACCAGAGGCCCAGTGCACAAAATTTGTGCACTCGGAGGGGTCCCTTAGCCCGGCCTACACCCTAAGCTGGTAGTTGGACATCCTTAGCACTGCTGCAGAGGCAGGAGAGGCTCCCGCCACTGCCGCTGTACTCGCCAGCCAGGAGCCCGGCTTTTGGCTGAGCGGCGCTTCCCCTGTGGGAGCACACTGACCACCAGGGGGCAGCTCCTGTGTTGAGCGTCTGTCCCCTGGTGGTCAGTGTGCGTCATAGCAACCTGCCAAGGCAGGTGCCAGTGGGGTACCCCAACAATCACCCCGCTGGTCACCAGTTGGCAATGGTGGTGAGGGGGCAGGCAGGGCTAGTGAGCAGGCAGCGCCAGGCCCACCAAGGCGGGTACCAGCAGGGGACCCCCGATCGCCACACCAGTCACCCCGCAGATTGGCCCTGATCACCAACGAGGCCTAGAGACTCTACCCATGCATGAATTTTGTGCACTGGCCTCTAGTACTTAATAAAGCAAAGATTTAAAAAATGGCTAGAGAGTTCTATCTTTGGATAAAGTCCCCACTGTACCCACTGACTGAAAGAGATAGACACCTGTACCCTTCTTTATCCTTTTCTGCCTTCAGAAAACTGGCCACCTTGGAGAACATTGTGCATGCATTCTACTAGTAATACAATGCAGACATTGTGGAACATACCTGTGTACTAAATGGCAATAGGAGAAGTCAATGTTTCTGTAGATAGAAAGGAAGGTGTAGAGTCCAGCCTGGTTGTCTCAAAAGAGGAAGAAAGTAGTGAAAACACAGTTGCTGTAAGAAGGATACATTACTCCAGTAGATGTGAGAGAAAATGAGGCTTCAGTAGTTGTGGATGTAGTAGTGCTTATATTTGGAAGGGAGTCCAGTGTGGGCTGCACCTCTACTGCAGAGGAAGTTATAATTGAGGAGTATTAGATACGGTTGCCAGAGGAGAACCTGAAGGGAGACTAGATAAGACCCATGTCAGCATGGGTGAAGTAGTATTTTTTGAAATTATAGATCCTGAAGTAGCACAAGAAGGATTTGATGGGAGTGTGGTCACAGGAGTCACAGATATGTTAGTCTTACCAAATGTCTGCTTAATATCAACCAAAGTGGTAGGAATAGTTCTTGAAGATATTGATAATGAAGGGCTCTCAGACATCCCCAAGGTAGGAAGAATTCCTGATGTAGAAATTGATGATATTGCCATAACATTTCCAGATACAAGACCAGTCTTAGAGGCCATGAATGTTGATAAAGACCCAGGAACGAGGTATGGAGTCTCTGTTTCCATCTTCTTGGGTGTAAGCACATGAGTAGTGGTAAAAATTGGAAATTGAGAATCTTTAGCTATGGGTATGTTCCAGGAAGTCATAAGCAGAGGCTGGGTGTTACTAGATGTGGTTCTTGTTCCCAGAACTGGAAATTCAACCTTGTGGGATGTAGGAGGAAGATAAGTCTTTGGAGTAGAGAATTCAGCTTTAGTACTATGAGGTGAAAAAAGAAATGTTTTAAAAGAGAGCAGAGTTGCACTGGATGGAGTCCATGGATGGTATGAAACAGGGATATTTACAGATGTGGCACCTTTTGTTAGTTCAGTGCTTGAAGTATTTTCAGACAAGGAAGTCATTTTTTTTTGTTTTTGAAGAAAAGAAAGTGGTGGCTTTTATACTTTGTGTGGGTCTAGGAGTGCTCTTAAAGCTAGTCAAATATTGGGAAACCTGAATATTCAAGGGAGTGGGAGACTATCTGAAGGGATAGATGAAATCACACTTTTAGGAGCAGCAGTTCTAGAATAAGTTATTTGTGAAAATTGGTACTCTACACTGCTTACAGTAGATAGGGAGGGTGTTAGTAATTCCAGT